TAACTCAAGTGTGACTCTTGGTTTTCCATAACTTAAGGATAAGTTATGGACTCCATTAAAACACATTATGATCAAGAATTAAACTACCAAATAGGTTACAAATAATTCCTATGATCATCTAAAACATCATAAGAACAAGAACATGAATATGAACACAATCAAAAATTACATAAAACTTTGTAATTTTGATAACTAGTTGTTGTAAATGAATTAGCAAAGACATTACACCACCAAAAACAAGTTTTCAATTACCAAAACAGTTTAGGGTAATGTTTCTAATTCATTTTCCAGCAACTGAATCGAAATTCTGCACTCATTCGACCCTACTCGCCGAGTGCATAAACTGACTCGCCGAGTTGGTTGAAGATACTCATGGACTCGACGAGTCCCCCCTATAGACTCGACGAGTCCATTCGCAGACAGCAAATTTCCGATTCTGTTTTCAACTTTTAAGCACAAATAAGAACAAACAAGCCTAGGCTCTGATACCACTGATGGGTTTTGAGCATTCTAACACTTCCTAAGTGTACATGCAACCCTAATAACCTTGGATCTATGTTTGTCTAATTGTCATGCAAAGTTGAATTCCAAGGTTATATTCCTATCTAGCATACATGGGGAACAATTTTAACATAAAGTATAGATAGAATAACTTACCTTGTTGTTGTTTGTGTTCCTTGAAACCTTGTGAGCCTAGCACCCCAAGTGTGATGCCTCAAATGCTTCACACAACACCAAATGCTCTTGGAAGAACTTATGAGAGAATACTCACTTCTCAAAATCGGCCAAGCCCTCTTGATTCTTAGTGTAGCCGATTTTGGGTGGAGAACATGTTACTTATATAGTGTTGACACATCTAGGGTTAAACCCTAATGTGTCATGACTCTTCATTTCCATGACCCATGGGTTTGTAACTCCCATGGAGCATCCTATGGGTGGAACCCAACTTGATAGTCCATGGAGCCTTTTAGCCCACTATACAAGATATGGATGATTTACATAATCAACCCATATATTTAATTAGTTATCTTTTGATCACTTAATTAATTCTAAATTAATTCTTGATCAAACTAATCAAATAATATTATTAATATATTAGAACTTATAATATATTAATAATCTCCAAGTGTTATTTCTCTCATTTAGTCTATCCAATTGCATGGTGCCATGCAACCCAAATGGACCATGCCGGGTCGGGTCAAGTACATACCAGAAATAGTTATGGACTTAGACACCTTATCCAACACTCGGGTCCCATAAACTGCTTTTCTCCAAGTTCAATTTAACATGACAGCATTCACACTTTTGTCCATACAAAGCTTATATGTTGCCATCTAATGTTTGAGTGGAAACGATTATTGTAGGAAAATTCTAACAGAGGTAAATGTTCATCCTAGTAACCTTGGAATTCCAGGGTACATGCTCTCAGCATATCCTCCAATGTTTAAATCGTTCGCTCGCTCTAACCATCGGTTTATGGATGGTAGGCTGTACTTAGACACAATTACGTACCCAATTCCTCTTGTAGACTTCTTCAAAACCTTGATGTGAAACAACTATCACGATCTGACACAATCGTTAAATGAACACCGTGAAGTCTTACTATCTCTTTCATGTAAGCATTTGCAAGTTTATCCATATACCATTTTTCATTGGTTGCTTTGAAGTGTGCACTTTTAGTAAACCAATAAATGACCACCCAAATCATGTCATAACCACTTTTCGTTCTGGACAGTTTAGTCACAAAATCCATTGTGATGTCTTCCAATTTACCCATGGGTGTAGGTAAAGGTTCTAAATTCCCATACGATTTCTGATGTTGTGCCTAACCCTCGCACATGTCACACACTCCGCCACAAACTTTGCAACATCGAGCTTCATCGTTGGCCACCAATAGTAGGGTTTTAGATCCCTATACATTTCCGTGTTGTTGGGATGAATCGAGTACATCATCTTGTGAGCTTCCTCCATCAGAAGATCTCTTATTCCTCCCATCTTAGGTACCTAAATCCTAGCTTGGAATACCTTTCAATCCTTGACCATTTGTATCGAACACTAACGTTTTGCCCAAACGTTCTTCCTTTCGGTCATTTTTCTATAAAGCTTCTTTTTGAGCTTTCTTAATGCTTTCTATAATCATTGAGGCATCTTCGAATCTTAATGCTCTTGGCGTTTTCTTTTTAAGGCTTGCTTTTCTGCTAAAAGCATCAGCTACAACATTTGCTTTACCAGGGTGGTAAAGTATTTCACAGCCTTAATCCTTAAGTAACTCTAGCTAGCATCGTTGTCTCATGTTTAATTCCTTCTGATTAAAGAGATATTGTAGACTCTTATGATCAGTGAAAAGTTTGCACTTTGTGCCATAAAGATAATGCCTCAATATCTTTAGGGTGAATACTACCGCTGCCAACACCAAATCATAAGTGGGGTAGTTCTTTTCATGTTCTTTCAATTGTCTCGATGCATATGTTATCACCTTATACCTTTGGGTCAGAACACAACCTAACCTAATTCCAGATGCATCACTATAAACTGCAAAGTCCTCAACACCTTATCCTTTGTGGGAAAAAGCTGTCAATGGAGCAGCTATCAAAGAAAACCCTTGGATAAATCTTCGGTAATATCCGACTAATCCTAGAACACTTTGGATCTCCGTGGGACTATTTGGCTGTTCCCACTTTATTATGGCTTCAATCTTAGTTGGGTCAACCATAATTTCTTCTTGGTTAACCACATGACCCAAAAATTAGACTTCTTGAATCCAAAAATTACATTTGGAGAAATTTGCATACAACTTCTCCATTTTTAGAACTTCTACCACTTCTCACATATGCTTGCTATGCTCCTGCTTGCTTTTTGGATAAATCAAAATATCATCTATGAACACTATCACAAATTTATCGATGAATGGTTTACAAACCTTGTTCATCAAATCCACGAATGTTGCTGGAGCATTGGTTAATCCAACAGACATAACCAAGAACTCATACTGTTCATATCTTGTTATGAATTTAGTCTTCTCAATATCATGCTCTCTCACCTTTAGCTAATGATATCCTGACCTAAGATCGATCTTCGTGAAATTGCTCGAACCTTGCAACTGATCGAGCACGTCATCAATCCTTGGCAATGGGTACTTGTTCTTTATTGTTGTCTTGTTCAGCTCTTTGTAGTCTATGCACATTCTCATGCTCCAATCTTTTTTTGTTTACGAATAACATCGGAGCTCCCCATGGTGATAAACTAGCTCTAATGAAACTGTTGTCCAATAACTCCTGAAGTTGTGTCATAAGCTTCTTCATCTCCGTTGGTGCTAATCGATATGCTGCTTTTGCTATTGGTGTTGTACCTGACAACAAGTCAATTCGAAACTCCAATTGTCTATCAGGGGGCAATCCAGGAAGATTTTCGGGAAAGACTTCTGGATAGTCACACACCACTGGTATGTTGTGCATTTCCTTCTTCTCCTTCTTTTCATCGATCACGAACTCCAAGTATGATGTGCATCCTTTTGACAGACATTTTTTTGGCCTTCATCAGGGAAATGATTCCAGAATTCACTATGTGCTTGTCTCCATACACCATAAGTGAATCTTTTCCAAGGTTGTTTACCCTTACTAACTCCTTCTTGCATAGTATTTTAGCATCATTGGCGCTTAGCCAATCCATCCCTAGTACGATGTAGAAACCATTCAACTTGATGGGTAACAGTTTCTCGTGGAATTCAATTATGTTCAAGTTGGTGACAATATTCTTAATATAATCGCTAACACGCATGAACTTGCTACTAGAAACTTCTACAATTAGGGAATTATCATGTTTTTCTATAGGAAATGCTAGTCTTCCACCAAATTTATGTGATATGAAGGAGTAATTTTCACCGAAATCAAAGAATAAATTGGCAGACAATGCATTTACAAGAAATGTACCTGAAGCGACAACCACTGTATCTTTTGCAGCTTCCAGTGTCATTTGGAAAGCTCAGGCTTTTGGCTTTGGTGGAAGATTAGGCCTTTCTGTCTCCATCTTCTTCGGGCAATCCTTCACAATGTGTCATTCTTCGTTGCACCCATAAAAGACTTTCTTATTGAAGGTTCATTCATTGGCATAATCCCCAAACTTTCCACATTTATAACAAGTGACCTCCTCGCCACATTTTCCAACATGTTTCTTTTTACATTTGTCACACCATTCAGCTTTGGCTCCTCCTCAAAATTTCCTCGAGCCAGACTTCGAGAACTTGCTCTTCTTGTTGGAACCTGAAGTTCCTTCAAACTTTCTCTTCTTGCCAACTTCAACGTTGCTGGCGGCTCTTCCCTTGATCATATCTTCAATAGACATGCACTACTAGAAAAACAGCCTTTTACGACGCTCATTGCGCGTCATAAAAGGCTTAGACGACGCGCAAATGCACGTCAAGGAAGTCCCTATCATAAAGAGAGACGACGCGCTTTTGAGCGTCGTCTATAGACGACGCGCATTTACGACGCTCATTTACGACGCGCAATGACGACGCGCATTTAAAACACGCAATGCGTATCAAGGAAGGCCATGTCATAAAGGAAGACGACATGCATTCGTGTGTCGTAACCTTACGACACGCATGTTAATGACACACAATGCGTATCAAGAAAGTCCCTGTCAAGAAAGGCCATGTCATAAATGAAGACGACAGACATTTTTGCGTATCATAATTTTAAATGTTTTAAAAAAATATTATTTATAGATTTACTAATTTTCAAATTAAATAATACATTAAAAATCTCATAATACAAAATAAAATACCATAAATAACAAAGATAATTCATTTCACTAATATGTCAAATACAAATAATTATTCCAAAAGTGAATAAATGTTATAAAAAAATGAACTCATTTATATACAATTGCATCATCTAGCTTACTATGTGCCAACAACTCTCTATGTGTTTACTTTTTCTTGAATCTCGTTTCCTCCAAAGCTTCTAGCCATGCCAAAATATGATATCTTGAGTCTCGTTTCAAGAACCAAAATCACCTTCAATCACCCAATTAAAGTCTAATGTTGGTAGACTGAGAGTTCCTGAATCAAGTTTACATCCATCACCTTCAATCACCCATTTAAACTCTAGATCTTCTGTTGTTTGAAGGAAATTGGTGTTTGTAATCTATGAACAAAAAACGCAAAGACCAAGGTTAACATTTGGTGAACGAAATTTTAATTGGTTGATAGCAATACTGGACCTCTGAAAACAAATAAACAAAGGATCACATCATCCTTACCTCAATGGTTTAATCTACCAAATTACCTTTGAGAACCAACAGGTGAAAACACTATGTGACCGGCTGCTCTTGTTGTTCATATTTATTCCTGCCACTTTTATATTTGCAGCATCCTGATAAAGCATGAAAACTAATTTTAAATCCAATATAATCATAAATAAGAAGTAACAAAGTGTAAAGGGGACCGATTGTACAATGTTATTAAGAGGTTTTATCTAACTATATATAACCTAAAATGTGTTATATTGTTATATTTATCTTACATAGTCCATGATTCCTATTGAATAACTTGACTTGTTATTGTATTAGTAAATTTATCACTCATTATAGCTTCAAAAACTTAGAATTTGCAAAGTTGTATTGTTGTGTATATCAAATACGTAAGAAAGTATATCATTATTTATAAATATATGCAGTAGAAACCATCATCTAATAGGCAACATTGAACATAAATATATTACCAAAAGGAGGGCCCTTAGTGCAGCAGCAAAGGCATGGTTAACTAATCCAGACTTGAACTGTTATCTTGATTCCACAAATTGATTGATAATCAAATAGCTCTTGCATAAAGGGAATATTCTTTTCGATGATTCCTACATTTTTTTGCAACATTTATTTCCAAAAAGTGAAAAGCGTTCCATGAAGTTATAGATACATACATATGTGCATCTATGTATGTATAATTGTATATGTGAAGATTCTTAACCTGGAGTGCCAAATCATAGATCCGTCAACATTGAAGATAATAGAGTTATCATTCCCTCCAACTCTATTGATAGAAATATATGGTCCCTCAATTCCAACTAAAGCAGATAGAAGATCATCAATTACAGTCAGTTCCTGCATGTGTTGAAACATTATCACAAAATCTTCGCTTATCATTACTTTAAAATGATATTCTATAGTAACTTGTTTCTAGCTTTCAAAATTGACACTAGTTTAAAAGGCCAATAATTGCAGAAGGAAGCATAAAAACAATTGTAGCTATACCTGAACAGAAGCATTGTAGGAACCTATCGGCTTCTCAGATTCCAATCTATACAAAACATACCACCAGACCTAGAAGGCTGACCTGGCACATAAGCACTGATTGAAATGAAATCTTTTTGTGCAACACATTCATACGCATTGATTATTGGATACCTGTTGATAAGATTAAGAGGAGAAAAGTTTTACTTGCCTCTTCACGTGCATACTGATCTGCCTAAGAGGTAGAGGAAGGGTCTGCATTATATTGATGTTGATATTCATTTTCCCAATCCCCATTTACATGCCTGGCCTCGTTATTATTTGCCAAACCAAATAAATAATATCCTGATTATAAAAAATAAATAAAAAATAGACAATTTTAATTCAAAGTAAGTAAATTAACCTGAAACTTTGGATTGGTGTTCTGAGCTAAAGTGTGTGCTAGCATTCGAGTCTGCTCCATAGCAGCCAAAGATGGAATGTTTGCACCTGCCATTCGGTCCATAGATGTCATCTACGTTTTCTCCTAAAATCAAGAACATAATAATTAATAGTAAGTAAACATTCAATTATTATTGTAATTATTAAAGCGAAAGAGCTCACTGACATGCTAGAATTCAGATGCCCACATGAATCCTTTCCCAATTTTCTTCAACTGATTTATAGATGGGAACATCATGATTGTGTGGAAAAAGAGTTATCACTGCAGGCATGAGGCAACAAAGTCACTATTACAATCCTGCATAATAGGTGTGAGTAGAGAATAAAAGAAAAACATGTTGTGGCCATGTTATCATAAAAGTCTGATTACCAGGATGTTATGGTTTTTCAGGTATTTTTTATTTAAAATAATTTACTTACAGAAAGAGATGAATGTGAATATGAATAAATATTAGTATTTGTGTTCTGTTTGTTAGTTTCAGTCTACAACATATGTATACCTTTTGTGCTTCACTATCCACCCAAGCAAATGTGAGTCTTTTTTCCTTCAATGCTGACATGGCAGCTTGGTGTTGGTCAATTTGATTTACATTTTCACCAGCTGATAGTATCTCTTGGACCCTACGCATGTCTTTAACATTATAATATATATAATATTGTTCTTTAAAGAAAAGAAATAAAAGACTATTGTTTTATGAATTAAGATAAGAATCTTACTTAACACATTTTAGGGAGTCTGTGTTTTGTCTTCCAATAAGAACAGCAAAATACCAAACTGTGGTGTTATTTCCAGCATGTGAATAGCCTTTTGGATCACAACCAAGCTCCATAGATGTAACACGTCTTAATTGGGGAAGCATTACTAAAAAAAATAAATAATTAAATATCATATTAGGTGTGAAAAATGACAAAAATGATTTATGCATCTTCATGTTTATTTTGTTCCATGACATCAACAAGTCTTGAATTGTTGATTGAGCCATGGTAGACTACAGGTTTGACATCGGGGTCTCTTAGAATAACAATGATAGGAGCTTCTTCCACACCAAATCTGAAATTATTATTATATATAATTTAAATTAATCACTAATTTAAACCATTTTTTAAGGAGAGAGTTTATGGAAATTACCAAAGCGTCCCTAGAGTAGTAGAAATACGAGGTAAGCTTAGTATGGTTTTTATTTTTTAATAACAATAATATGGTTATTAACTTATTATTATTATCCGCATAAAGTAAACTCACCTCACAATGCAATCTGAGGATTCACAGCCAGGTGGAAGAGCCAAAAGTGAAGGAACAGCTGTATCGTATCAATAACTTGGAGAATGATTAAATCATCCAATATTTTAATAAAAAAATAACTTGGGTATTATTATTTAATTATTACCAACCATTTCGATAGAAATGGGCTCCTGTATAGTTCTTCTTAGATAAATATGTCGCAAGCTTAAGATCACTAAAAATATTATTAAACTTGAAGTTTAGAAGTTTACAACCAAAACATGAAAACAAAAAGAATTGAAGAGAAAAAAATGATGATTTATGATTCAAAGTTGCATACATGCATGTATATCTTGATTATTTCACTACAACACTGCAAGTCAACTGATATATTGACTAAAGATAGTCCAATCTCATTAGAGCAGATTCTTGTCTCTTCCAATCAAATCTTTGAGCTACGATTCTTTAGTCCAGGTAGTTCCAGTAACCTATATCTTGGTATATGGTTCAAAAATGTCACTCCAAAAAAATTTATATGGATTGCAATCAGAAAAAATCCACTCTCGGTTTCTGACACTAATTCGACCCTAACAATTGACAATAATGGGAATCTCATCAGCATTTCCATTATATAAATTAACAAATTGTTAAGAAAACAAATGGCTCAAAAAGTTAAAAAAATCACTTTTTTAAGTTACCCATATCGGTTTTGTCTCATTGGCCAATTCCCAATCCCAGTAATCTTTAGTTTTCGTTTTCTTCTTCTTCTCACCCTGGAAAACAAGTATTACTTTTTTTTTATAAATAAATCATACAAAAGCACTGTAATTTGATGATCAACACTTTTCATTCTATCTGTGTATCTGAAAGACATTATAATCCCATGAGTTTAAAATATCATAATATATGAAAAAAACAAATGCATAAGTTATAATACAAAATAAGAGTATAAGACAAACTATTTTTCACTTAATCCATAAAGAAGTTCATATAGAAAGTCAGGAAAATGAGGCTTTCCCTACTAAGTCCAACTTCTTAGTTCTTACAAATTTGCCCTGATTCAATTGTTCTGTTTTTGAGAAAAAATAAGTTTATTAAATGTTATTGAGTTAATAACTGCGTTGCAATAAATTATGGTTTATATACCTATATATGAGCCGAAGAAAGCAATGACCAGCTGCACCATTTGCACCTACAGAGAAGAAAGGAACCTGAAGCTCAACATCGATGTGATCAGCTCCTAGCTCCATTGCTAAACACAGAGCATCCAATCGACTCTTTTCATCTCTATTGTATTGACCACCTTCCCATGTTGTTCTAGAAACTAACATAGAATTAGAAACCTTTTGAGGAAGATAAACTGTTAGAAGATCATTTAAGATGAAGGCTATTCTTATGATCTATGATAGAAGGAAAAAAAGAATTTCCTTTATCTTGAAGAAAGGTTCCAACTTGTGTTTGAATGCTACCTACTACATAAAACAAGTGACTTTTGGAATGAACTAGCGTTTCCTGCTCAAATAGACAAACAAAATTACATCATATTAGCCCTATAAACATCATACATACACATATACTATCTAGAGTACTTGTGTCTCTAGATTGAATGTATACTCATCTCCAAAATAGCTGACTGCAGGTGGTAATTCTGAATTTGAATCCTTACAACATGAGATGAATTAGTGATTACAATTCTTGCTTCCAACATCTACACCCTGAAAAGAAATATATATCATTATCATGACATAACTCAACAGTTGAGAGAAACATGGAATGGGCAGAAGGTCTTCTTTAGCACAATACACCCGGTGAAGCTCTTCTTTAGCACCAGCATCACTTGTCCCCATAAACTGCCACTTGCTTCTTCTTGAATGTGATTGAGCAGCTTGCTCAACTGCAACTTCCATTTGCTTAATTTGCCCATGTAATCACCACATTGCTAAATCCCCTACACAACAAACCAAACAAAACAAAAATCAACATCAAATATTAATTAGAAAAAAACAAAAACAAAAAAAGTCAAAAATACCCTTTAGGTTAACAAGAGAGGTTGTCATTCCAAAAACAGATGGAGAAGAAGAGAACAGTTTGCGTACCTGATTTAGGGAATAAAAGAATCTTTAAAAAAGGAATGTAAGAGAAAGAAATCTAGGGCACATACATTAAGAAGAAGATAACAACTTTCGAACCTGATGCCTCCTCCGTTTTTTTTCTGCATTCTGATGCTTCCGATCGTACCTTGAACCTCTGACTTTCGATCCCAAATCCGACTTGCAACCTTCGATTTCTGATCTTCAACCTGTAATTCGAGTCATAGTTCCGAATCTCATAAAATTAACCTTGCTACCTCCTATTTCTGATGAAAGAGGAGTCTCAAATCTGAGAGAAAAATGAGGAGTCGCTGGCTCAAATTAGAAACCCTAAAAGATGGATGACATAGGGAAAATCAGAAAGGTATGAACATACCATTCGATAACCAGAAAATGGACTGAGAGGAGGGGGTTGTTAGGGCTAGAAACTAGCTTCCAATCTCCTTTATCAACATCATATCGATAAAGATCGCCAAAAACATATGTTTGTGTAATATATCAACCTTTTTCAAAGTAAATTCAAGCATAATTTCAGAGAAGGTCACATGAATTCATCTATAAGACATAATGTCCAATTGTTGATATCTTCCATCCCTAAAGTCACCAGCATGGAGTCTTTTTTTCTTTGGAACCATCGTTGTTGCCTCATAACTTCGGAGATGGCGTACCTACTGTTGCCTTGATCGACGTTGACGACCGGGAATGGTACCTAACGATGGTCGAAGTGTGAGGGAAGAAGAAGGTGGCAGTCAATGTCGAGAGGGGGAAGGAAGGAGCCGATAATTAGGGCAAGAAGGAAAAAAGAAAATTGGAAGGCGGGGTTTTTAATTTTTTAGGATTTCATTTCCCCCTAATTATTAAAGGATGGAACGCGCCTTGTATTAAAATTTATAAAGCGACACTCTTAGACGACACGCGTTTTATTATAAGTGCCCTCCGTGTTTTTTTTGTTATTATTTAGACACTAATTTAAAGGCACGTAGTAATGCGCGACATAAATCCTTAAATTTTTTGAAGAGATGACAATTTTTTAATGTCACTCCCTTTTGCGTAACATAAATCAATGAGTGTCGTGGTTTGCGCGTCGTAAAAGGGTATTTTTCTTGTAGTGTTGGCAGCCCAGATAGATGTCTCTAGAGTAAGTGCCTGATGCATTTTGTACCGCGTACTCCTATGGAAGTCCCTTTGTGTACCTGTCTATTTTTGTCAGCTTGTCTAGGACAATACACAAAGCACTCTATTTAATTTGTGAAGTTATTAGTGTATTCATTGATGGACATGCTTCCCTTTTTCAGTGTTAGGAATTGGTTCTCTAGCACAAGCTGATTTTTGGCCGAGCAGTACTTGCTCTTTAAATGCACCAAGAACTCTACACAAGTCAGTTGTAGTGGCTCATTAGGGCTTAAGGTCTTCCCCATAGTGTTCCACCAGTGAACAACGCCACCTCTGAACTAGTGTACTGCAAATATGGTTTGTTGCTTGCCTTTGCAGCCACGTGTCATGAAGGCTAATTTCATGCCCTAGATCCAATCCCTTACTCCAATGGGATCTTCCTTTCCAGTGAAAGTTGATGGCTTGCAAGTCATAAAGTCTTTGTACTTGCATTAATTTCTCTCGACTCTGTCCTCTTGGTTATTCCTCCTTACCACAAGCATTTAAGTTTAACCAATAGATCTACTGTAATTTCCTTCCTGTGACTGACCGTTATTTAATTCATGTTCTTCAACAGGCATTAATGGTTCACTCCTGTTGTTCAACAACAGTTTTCTCATTTCTTCCCTTTGTTCAACCATCATGGCCTGAATCATGGGTCGTACTCCAGCCATTGAGATTGCTTATGGTGCAGCTTCTACTATAGGCACCTGCCCCATCACTTGGGGTTAAGGTTAATGATTTTTGTTTGCATTTCCGTCTCCACTTCGGGTTCTTGCCATTTTGATCTATACACCAAATTAGGTGAATTTAAATCTTTATTCTCGATAGATATCAAATTTCTCCTTATCACCCCGAAATGTTACATGCCAATTCTTATATCCTAGTCATATGCAGAGAATCCTGAACATATAAGGTTTCCAAATCTGATTGGCAACAGACCATAGATCCAAACAAATAATATCATATATAGCAAACGTATAACATTTAGCACATAAAAAATATTTTAGGCATCTTTCCTAAAATATACTAGTGCTCGTGTCTAAAATATGGTAGACACTCATCTCACCATCATCACTTAGCATTCTAAGTTTAAGTTTAGAAATCCTACAAATTCCTAGTTCGCTTAAACTAATGCTCTGATATCTATTGTGACATCTCCATTTTCATTGTCCGAAAAGACCGATTTTGTTTATGCTTTTAAAATAAAATAAGAATAATCTTTTAAAAAGTGTTGCCGAATTTGTCCCCAGAACAAAATATGACAAAAAAATATTTATCCAAGCATTTCTCAAAGAAATGTATTTTAATTTCATTACAAAACTCGGGATATCCACATCGATACAGGACAAAAGCATAAATTGTACAATATAGTCTTTACAACAGTTATTTACATCTACTGGCCTATAATCCAAAATCTCTCATCATTATCCAACTATGCTATTGTTCCACTACGTGTAATACAGAAAGTTGAGTGGGTCAGGCTTCGGATCATGGTGAGCATATAGGGTTTTCAACCCACAAATAATAAATTTATTAATTCCATTAACCAACAATAAATTTATTTATTTCATCAACCAACAATAACCCTGACTACCTATTTCCGTTATCCTCACTTTACGTCCGTACACACCTATCACAATGGACCTAGCCTAAGGATCATCATCAAGATGGACTTTACTTCTAAGGGAATTCCTCAACCATATATATTCGTAAGGAAATCATGAGGGGGATGGAGTACACCAATGAACACATCGTTCACAAACACCTGTAGGTTACGAGCTTGCTAACATTCCACTCGACTGTCTAGAAAGGTCCATGGTCATCATCTATACTCCGCTAGATGACTAGAACAACAACAACATCGAGGTCTCTCATCATTTTATCATAAATCAACTATTTCATCTACCTATGTTTTACCCAACATATTTGTAGATAAAAATTCAAATACAATTTAAAACCTGTATAAAACATTCATTCAACACCTATCTCAAATAAACAAACAATATGTATACACCTAGCACGTAGTTTATAGAAAATACTTCATATCTATGTGTAAGATGAAAGTGACCACCCACTCACTTGATTGGATGGTGATTGGACAACACTTCGTTGTTTACGTTAAAAATTCATAAATTCTTCATTCGATGTCCGTTTACGTCTGTTTTTTTACCGTTAAACTACAATCAACAAGATCTTTGATTCTCGTTTAGTTTGTGTCGACTAAAAATGGCTTGATCTATAATTCGATTTCCAGGCTGCATACTGTTATGCCAAATCTTATAAAATTCATAACTTCCTCATACAAAGTCATATTTGGACATTCTTTTTATGCACGCTCTTGGTTTAACGTGTACTATGACTTTCATTTAGATCATTAAGGCTAAAAGCACTTTATCGTAAACTCACTTTTTATGTCACATAGCGTCGTGCCATTTCTGTTGCAAAACTTCGACATGTCGTAACTTCTACATTATAACTCGGATTTCGGTACTCTTTATATCTCTGGAATCCTTGTTTCAACCACTACAGCTTTCTTCATAGATATCAGTTTTTATCTCAAATAATACATCTTTATTACTTCAAAACAAGTTACAAAGGTTGACGTAGACTATTACGTCATCATTAATGCCTAACATAGAAACATGGGTGTTACAGTTGCAATCCATACAATGAGATGGCAACTCTCTCAGCCACCGATACTCAACCTGAGTGATCCTAAAGTGTTCTCAAATATTCAATGGTATCCTAAAAATCAACCAACGGATAAAACGAGCTCCTTGACCAACTATTACGCACTCAAGTTACGAAGGGCGTACACCCAGACTCCGCAAACTTCATTAAGATCCTTATGTGTTATGTTCGTACATCAACTTGCACATCCAATTATTAATCATCCTTAAGAGTCATAAAGTTTCAAACTTTATAACTTCATGTCCATTAGGTGCTTAACTCACCATCTTAATACATTTGATCTTCTAATGAATGTATGGAGCAAAACCAACCATTAGGATCCCATTTTTATCACTCAAGACCCTTCCTAATGTCTAAAAGGACGATTTATTGGGTCAAGAACATGCCATGCTCAAGAATTACCACTTTGGGACCAAAAGTGTCCTAAAAGAGTAAATTTCTAGATTTACAAGATTGGGTGATCAAGATGCTAACTTTTTACCTTGTGGAGATTCCTATCAAGGAAGAAATCATAGATCCAAGGTGCTTCCCATTTCCATGCTCTTCACACCACACTCTTCTCCTTCAAGACACTTCTAAACACTCAAATAGCCTTCAAAAAGACACTCTTTCACTTAGGGTTATATTGGGGTTGACCTCAGAGAGGGGGGCTGAAGAAGGAAAGGGGGCATGTGGTTATAAAGACATTTATAAAGGGCCAAAACCCTAAAAATTAGGGTTTGGACATCCTGAGCGTGCACCCTGCGTACATGGTTTATTGTCACAACTGGAAAAATTAGGTTAAGATGTGAATTCCTGTACAATATAATCTCCTTGAGTAACCTTACAACATCTCATCTTGCGGAATTCAAAACTTCAATGCCATTAAGATTCTACTCTCATACATTTGACATTTACGTTAAAACAATCCCACATATACTCGAAATCCAACCCAATAAGGTAAATCCAATCAACTTTGCGCCTTAGCCTAG